AGAGATTTTGGTTGCTTCGAAAGTTTGTAACATTCGATTCCACCGCCTCGTAATCATTTAGTGGAAGGAGGAAAAGGAGTTGGAAAAGACTCCTATAGAGTGACCTTCGTGGTACCCTCTAGGGTCGACCTTGTTGGGTCGCCTGCAGCCCCCTCAATGGAGAGTAGGACTCGAACGAGTCCGAACTTCTCAGAAAACAAATATCATGTCGTAATTGCATTTCATTTGATATTTGTGTTGCCCTAGCTATTCTGCAGGTTCTATGTGTATATTGTCATCTTCATTAGGTGCCCGCAGCTTGGTTTGAAGATAGAAATCGAAAGGAGCAAGTTCGGGGCCGATCTCATTGAAATCGTGTATATCGGACACGTCCCAGTATTCATACCGACACGCCGGTATTTCCCCGCCTACAATCGAAAAAATATTTATTCTCTGTTCTAACTTGGTGTTGCAGGGTTGTAACTTCTAGATATATTCTTTATACCTTATTTACTCTGTGGCTAACTTGTGAGGGGTGGTAGTACTCTTAATTTGGAGTTACCATTTTGGAAACTCCCCTTTCTAATTGTTTTCGCATTCAAATGTGTTAATTTTCAGAAACGCCTATTCACCCCCCCTCTAGGCGACATCCTAGGTCCTTTCAGTTTGGCATAAGGTTTATGTTTTTAGATTCACTATGAGAAATATTTTTATATAAATCAAACACAGAGGGTGAAAAGCATAATTGTTTGGCATAATTGTTTTGGATTCAGTTTGGCATAATTGTTTTGGCAGCTATGTATGCAGACCTAAAAACAAGTGATCTTATAATATTTAACTTGTGTAACGGCACTCTAATAGTTTCAATTTTACTTCTAATATCTTAATCTATTTTAAAATACAATAATATCACTTAATACACGTTAATCACATGGTAATAATATCATTAACAGAACCCTGTGCTTCTTGGAAATAATGTTAATTTTGACAAAACTCTGACCAGAATCATGTAGTGTAGTAAAATATGTGTCTTTGTAAATGGAAAACATATCATATTTCTGAACAAAATGTGTCCCAATCGCAGGATTTAATGTTTTAATGGATATTTTGTTGGATACGGTCGAAGCTAGACAACGAGGGGTGCAGCTATGTATGCAGACCTAAAGAGAAACTTTAGGCCTTAAGCCCTTAAGGGGCATACGTGCAAGGAAAAACAAGCATTCAGGGACCACAGGGTGAATAGCTGCCCAAAAAAAAAGAGAGGTTGAGGGCATATATGCAAGCAAAAAAACTAGCGGCCAAGGAGTGGCATGTGAATGTGCAAAGAGATTTTGGACCTTCATGCAGGACAGCAGAAGCTGGGAGGGCCTGAAATGAATCTTTCAGGGGCATATGCGCAAGGGAAATCACAGTCAGGGGCGTACCTGTAAGACGGCCAGGGACCAGCGCGTAAAATCTCAAAAAAATTTGGACCATTTCTCGATTTGTGCGTGTCATCCTTGCGCAGGGGCCATGCTAATCTTCTCTGTATCGTTCCAATTTTATCGGATGTCTCCGAAGAGACAGTATGGTTACCACAGCTCGGCTTATAAGCTGGCGTTTGGGTCGTTCGCTGGTCGGTTTGGTACTAAATCCCAAGTTGGTCGCTCGTTCCCTTCCCCGCAAGCCATAGTGCTGATGCCCTTTTAGACTATTTCTCGATTTATGCGTGTCATTGTTTAGCGTGGCCCAGCTATCATGGGAAACAGCAAAGTGGGCTTCGTGTTTGCCCTTGGGAAGATTGCAGGCCCTTTTGCACTTTGACGCATTATACAAGTGTACAATTAGCAGGTCTGCCAGGGTACTCCCGAGTCCTGAACTCCTGATAAGTGCGGCTCTCGCGAGTCATGATTCCACGATGAGTACTCCGAGTTTGATAACACTCGGCAAGCCAGCAGTTTGCTTGGCCCTAGAGTTTCTGTGCTGATGCCTGTGGGGCCGTAATGTCATATATCTCCTATATTATATTAGTATATGACCTTTCGGCTCTTACTAGTACCATCTACTAGCTCGTATTTATTTTCTTAGTCAGCTCCCAATCGCAACATTGATTGTTATGTTAAAATGCATGAACTGCTTAATTAATATATAGAACCTTAGTTGCCAAGATTCCGCTCTAGTTGACCAATGTGGGCCCTATTCGCTTGTCATATAATCCGTATCTTTTAGCTTTGGTCTTTCAAATTTAATGATATTTTTCCTCACAACAAATCAATTGAACAAAGATTTTTTGTTTTTTTTTCCGGGCGAACCGCCCGTGAGATGTCCTCTTTTGCTATGTCTTTTAAAAACGGTCATTAGCAGACATGTACTCTCTCCGTTTTCATTTGTACGTCGTGTTAGCTTTATCTTAAGTCAAATGGTTGCATCTTTGACCATCAATTCTATAAAAATTATATCAGTTTGGCATAAGGTTTATGTTTTTAGATTCACTATGAGAAATATTTTTATATAATCTATAATTTATTGTGAAACTATAAGAATTTTTTTGACATGGATGAAGATAGTAATGTTTGATTCAATTAGTACAAGCTAATATGACATTAAGAAAACAGATGGAAGACACCATTTGCTTGCTGTTAGTTATAACTCCAGTTTCGTTTACAGGGCATTAGTGATTGTCATCAATATCCTTGACCAGCGGTTGCCATGGACTCCCAGCCACCCTTCTTTTCTTCACAAGGGGCTAGTACACACTTGTTTCTTGTCCGGTTGGGATTCTTCACTAGGGCGCGTCTGGTTCGTTGGTGCCTGGCTCGCATTTGGGAACCGGGCTCGCTCCCGTAGGACAGGCTGTGCAGATGCAAGCTATCGTTGTTTGGTTGTCTGTACGTGTGGAGCCCGGCTGAGAAGAGAGGGCATTTGGTTGCCTGTATGAACCCGTATCGCATGAATTAAAAATAAAAAACAAGTGATCTTATAATATTTAACTTGTGTAACTGTGCTCAAATAGTTTTAATTTTACTTCTAATATCTTAATCTATTTTAAAATACACTAATATCACTTTAATACACGTTAATCACATGGTAATAATATCATTAACAGAACCCTGTGCTGCACCATACGAGCGTGGCTCGCCAGAAACGCAAATGAAATCTGTATCTGGATAGCCAGACTCTGGGCTGCCTTTTGCATCTGGAGAACCTGGTTCAGACCTTGATGCAAACGACTAAACACCTTAAACTTGCATCTGAGGAGCCTGGCTGGGCAAGAAGCAGGCAACCAAACGCCTCCTAACTTGCACACCTACGTAGGGAGTGTTTGGTTTCTAAATTTTAGTCGCTGTCTCATCGAATGTTTGAACACATGCATGGAGTATTAAATATAGACTAATTACGAAATTAATTATACAGTTTGTGACTAATTTACGAGATGAATCTTTTAAGTCTAATTAGTCCTTGATTTGACAATGTGGTGTTACAGTAAACATGTGCTAATGACAGATTAATTAGGCTTAATAAATTCGTCTCGAAGTATTGACGAATTCTGTAATTTATTTTTTTATTAATATCCGAACACTCCACGTGATACCCTTACGTGATACGTCCTAAATTTTAGTCACTGAATTATAGCACACGTACTTCTTTCTTCTTAAAGCTGTGGCAGGTCCACTGCTGCCTGCACGATGAACTTTGCCAGAAAGTACGTTTCTGTCAGCATTATGAAAGGCTGTTAGTAGGCAGGTACGTCACGTTATGAAAGGAAGAAAGGTGCAGACGATTTCAATTTCTTTTTATAAACAGGGAATTAAAAACAATCTTGTAGAAATAGTATGCCATTTATAGTTTGTTGAGCAGCGCTCGTGGAAACAAATTGTGGCACGTAAGGTCAAGTTAACCTTCTTCGTTGGTTTAGGGCCTGGTTAATTAAAAATTAGCTATGTTGGATCTAAACAAACTCAGCTAATCGATTATTAGATTATAATAATTAGCTCAAATAACCTAACTGTGATTATGGGTATTATAATCAAAACATGATATTACAACAATCCATCCTAGACCTGCCTTTTGGAGATGATTATCGGTATTTGGCACTCTAACCAACAATAATGCAAGGATCCAAATACATACTCCTATTATTATATTCCATGATTCACATTCTAATAATCCTATATATAATCACATGACCAAATAAATGAACAAGTCATCTAATAAGCAGTTAATTTGTAGTCAATTGGCTCGTATCCTTCACCAATTCATAGGTATTAGGAACTAACTATTAGCGGTAATGGAAAACAACACTTCAACCAGACACCTTGTAACGCACTACTACAAAAACGATTTTGCGCAGCGTTCCACTTTTGCACTCCGTGACGGGCTCCTATTTTTGCCCGCTGCGGTAAATCCCAAGATTTACCGCGGCAAGCATTTTTTATTTACCGTGGCGAGCATTTTTGCTGCCATGTAAATCGATTCTCGTGGCGGGACGCCCCAAGACGTCCGCCTCAAAACTACCTTATTTTTCCGAGGCGACGTTTTAGGACGTCCGCCACGGTAATGGATTTACCGTGGCGCGTCCCTATGAGACCCGCCTCGCTTAAGGCCGGCCCAAAAGGCCCAACGGCCCGATAGCCGTCTTCACATATAAATACGTAGTCTTTAGGGTTTCACTCCTAGTCTCCCTTTCTGCCTCAGCCACTCCTCCCACCGAAGACCGAACAAGTCCACACCTCCTTCCCTCTCCTTCCATCGCACCCTCTCCGTCGTCCTCGCGCGCACCTCCCTGCCTCTCCTTCCATCGCACCCCCTCCCTCTCCGTCGTCCTTCCTCTCTTTCCGTCAGCAGGGTACGGTGGCGCCCGACTCCGGTGGCGCGCACGGAGGCGCCCACGGTGGTTCGTGGGGCCACGGCAGGTCGCCAGGGCCACAGCGGGTCGCGTAGGGCCACGGCGTTGTGCGGGGCCACAGCGGCGCGCGGGACGGCGGCGCGGGTCGCGTGGGCGACGATGGCACGCGGGGCGGCGGCGCAGGTCGTGTGGAGCCATGGCGGCGAGCGGGCGGAGGCGCGTTTGCGCTGGTCGGGTCGCCTCTTTCCCCTTCTTCTCCGGTGTCGGCGGATCCACGCCCAGATCCGGCGATAGCGGGCCCTCCACCTCCCATGACGGCGATCCGGCGCGCGGGCAAGATCGAGGTAATGGCACCGCCAGATCCTCTACCTCACTCTCTTTCTCCATCTCTCCTTGCTCCTCTCCCTCACTCCCTCTTTCCTTCCTCTCTCTTTCCATACAGTGAGGTGGATCTTTAGAGGCCGGTCTTGCCCATCTCCGTGGCCTCCGTGGCTCTCTCCGATCAAGGGGCCAATCGATCCGGCGTGAAGAGGTGGAGGCAATCGGATCCGTCCGACGACGACGATGCAAAGATCCCGCAGGCACTAGGGTTATGGGTCATCAAGCGGGCTCGGGATATGGGCTCGCCGGTGGGCTTTGGTTTTTTTTTGTTTTTTCTCGCTTTACCGTGGCGGACGTTCTAAAGTGCCCGCCATTGCTAATAAAAGTTTCGGCAAGCATGGGCAATCGACGACGCTCGCCAAGGTGGATTCACGATTTATCGTGACCTTCTCACCACCAGCGACGCGCTTTCCCTTGAAATCAAAATTGCCCACCAAGCTTAAGCATTCTGTTGTAGTGACGAGTAATAGTTAGTTAGCTGATAGTTAGCCAGTTAATTTTAGCAAGGAGATATTAGCTAGCTAACTATTTTAATTTACTCCTTAATCGATTTTGATATATTCCTTTTTTTGTCTTGATATAATTATTATGTGCAGCTGTGCACCGTGGATATGAAACGTGCTGTGATATCCTTTTGGTGACATCATTAAAATATTTACGGCGTAGAGAAAGGCCAAGAGAAGAGAGAGGGGGGGGGAGAGATAGACTCATATACATACAACGAGAGTGATAACAGATACCGGAATGATACCAATACCATGGAGAGTTCCAGCTCAAGAAGCAAAGGATGGATACGATGTCTCTTTCCGTTCTATTATTATCGGAATGATACCAATACCATGCATGGAGAGTTCCAGCTCAAGAAGCAAAGGATGGATACGATGTCTCTTTCCGTTCTATTATTATGTTAGGAGTACTTCGTAAATCCTCGTTCATTTAAACTTATCAGCCTGACTTATCAACCATAATAACAAATCAACATAAGTCAGCTTATCATCCGCAGAAACCATCAGCTGAACAGCTCTGCCTCGTTGTCTTCCTTTGTCTTTTCTGGTGAATGGATGTTGGGCAAGTTAACGCAACGCAAATAGAAGCCTCGTGAAATATTTTTCATGCCATTTTTCTAACTAAGGGTAGAGGGTACGTTCTATGTAGTTATTGGCCTCGTTTACGTGCCTTTAAATTTGGCTTGATTTATTTATCTTTTTTATCCGGAATAGTATTTTTCTTTCACAAATTCTTTCAATATTCTTCTAAACCATCTAGATTGCTCCAGAATTCAGATAAGAATTTAGATAAATAAATAAGCCCAATTTCCAAATTCCTCCGAACCACGCAGACAAATTTAAAAGCCAAAAAGATGGCCAGCTCCTCCGCCAGGACCACCCTCCACGTCACTCCAATTTTTTTCCTCCGTCGGATTTCGAATCGATGGCCTAGATCTCTTGGAGTTGATTCTCGTCCGAAGCGGCTTCCCGTCGTCCTCTCCAGCTTCTTCCAATTCTTGGCACTCTTATTTACCTTATACGGCTTCTTCTCATAATCCAGCGAAACGAATATAATACCCACCTTCGGATTTCCCTTCCCCAGACTTCTGCTTCTCCTTCCCCTTCCTCGCTCTCTCTCGTCCGCTCCCTCCCTCTCCCGATCTCTCCCGACGCGCGGCCAGGGCGGCCACCGGCGCCAGCAGCGCGGCGCGGCTGCGGTCGCCCTCGTCCTCCTCCTCCACCTCCCCACGGCGTGCCGGCCGGGCAAGTGCCGCTGGCTCACCGCGTTGCCAGGCCGCGCCGCCGCTCCCCGGCCTCTGCCGCGGCACCGCGCGTCGCCGGCGGCGGTGGCTGTCTCCGGCCACGGCGCAACGTGACCGGGCCCTGCCGGTGGCTGCCCCCCGGCGCCGCATCCTCCTCTAGCCCGCGGCCGTTCATGTGCTACAGGAAACCCTAGGTCGGGAGCTCCTAGCGCCGAACCCCGCCCCCGACTCCTCTCTCTCTCTCTCTCGCGCACGCCGAACCCGCCCCCGGCTCCTTTCTCTCCCTGTGGCGTGTGCAGCTAGCTGAGGTCCTCCTATGGCTGTATTTCGATTTTATGCCTGTGTATTTTTTTAGATGTACCTCGATTTGTTTGTTGCAGGTTCCTGATTTGGTACGCTCTGTTAAGCATGGCCAATCGACAAGAGGTTCGTGTATTCATGCATCCTTCTGGGATACGATTCAGCATGTTCAGAACCTTTGTTACATGGCTGTTAATTTTTTTTTGTGCATACTAATGCTAATTTGGCTGTCTGCAAAATTATTTGTCCGTCAACTAATGCTGCTTTCATTTCTTTGTAGTTATGCTGGTTATGACTGCGTAAGTTTAATAGCAATATGATAGGATCCCCTGCAGTGCTTTTTTTTTCTTATATGTTGGTGATTTTCAACATGTAAAGGAAGGGCACGCTAATTTCTTTATGAAAATAATGGCTGCACACCTTTTTTTTTTTTTTTTTTGCCCCTCATGCAGCTTTGCAATGATACAGTCCCAGTGCGTGTTGGACCAGTCTCATACTTGCTCCTCTCTAAACCTGCCATGGGTGTTCACAGATCTTTCTCTCTTCTTTCACTTCTTGGTAGTATTTTCCCATCTACAAGTAAGCATCTACACAGAGCAGCCAACATATTAATATTCACCAAATACATGAAGGCCACCTGTGGACCACATTAGTTATTTCGTTTTGCTGTACCTCTGTCCCTAAAAGTTATGTAAAGATCGCTTGCTTGGAGCTAATGATTGAGCCTCTCCTGTTCCCTAAAGTATCGTATGGAACTCAGACTGGATGGCAGGCCACCGAGTTTCACTTTGTTGCTTAAATTTTTTACCTCATTCCCATAGGGAAAATGATATTTTTTTTACATGCCACTCATGCATTAGAAAAAAATAACCATCACAGCTCAGGCCATGCCAACCTTGACTCTTTTTAACGCCCCCGCCGGCGACAGTACCGGCGGCCACCAGGTCGATGTCCTTCTGAGACTGCAAGGCCGATGACGGGTAAACTCCCATCTCCTCTCTCTCTCTCTCTCTCTCTCCTGCCCTCGCTCTCTCTATCTTTGTTGTGTGGATCTAGGTACTGCATGATTAGCGTTCTAGGATTTACTATTATCGATAGTGTTGCTTTATATCTCACTGCTATACTTAAAGTCTCTATTGTTCATACTGTTGCTTTGTATCTCGCTTCAATACTTAAAGTCTTCTGCCTCACTGATGGTTACATTACCTTTGCAAGAGCCGCTGTATAGATGGTTCTTACCTGCCTAATAATTGCTACGTGTTATATTGGACATGATCTGCTTATGTTTCTGATAAAGTCCTATACTTTCGATCTCTGTTCGACAGGATCTGTTTATTGGGATTGGTTGTTCACGATCAGGTATCTCATGATACTTTATCCCTATTTGTGTTGTCGGATTCGTCGCCTGATGCTCTAGCTATTTGGTATAGTTCCTACATTGCAGGGATGATGGATTTAGTGTTGGTTCATTATTTGGTATCTTGGATTATGAGCTTTGTGTGTTATAATAGATATACATAGAGTTATGGACTCACAGTATGGGTAGAAATTAACACCACACTTCGTTAATGTTGCAGACCAGATATTAGAGTATATGCTTATGCACCTAGCCAAATCAGCAAAGCTTTTCAGGTCGGTTATCTGTGATCCTCATCATTGGTCTTCCTTCATTTTTCGTGATTTTTTTTTGACTTTATCTCCTTACAGGTCACTCAGTTCCTAGATGGCTCATAGTTTGGGGTGGAACAGATGGTTACCAAACTCTTATGAATACCGATATGAGCGGGGCCTATTTTGCTGATTACTTTATGGCGCCACCTATTTGCTCATTTCCGGACCCCCTAACTTTCTTCAGGCTAATGTTGACTATAGTGTTGGGTGCCTTGCTTTTTAATGGCTCGATGCATATAGTTTGGTCGGATTCATCAGGCCTAATTGATTGCTGCTCTTTTTTTCCCCTGAAATAGTGACAGAGAATAACAATCCCTGGAATACTAGACACCCAATTATACTAAATCCATGGAGTGTAATTTTCATGTATATGGCCAGATACTCCTACAACATGATCAGGTGATGATCTACAATATCTGATGATTACATCATAAATTATGTTTAACTTTTACAGCAATGATCACGGGAGATCTTTCCTTCTTGTGTTTTTCTTTTCTAGAATTCAGCCTATTTTCGGTGAGTTCCGTTCTTAATGTTTGACTGATTTGGTGTGTTCGAGTTTTATTAGAATCAAATTGGGTTCGAACCCATTCCTGGTGAATTTTGGACAGCCTCCGTTTGTACACTGCATACTATTGTGCTTTTGAAACAATGGTTTTCACATACACAGCAATAGCAAAAGCAGCACTCTTCTAATTTTCAGAACCGTGACTCCTTCCCAGCAACAGTTACCTACTCATTGTCCTTATCTAATTTTCCCACCTTTTTATTGGTTTGATTTTTTGGGTGAATTTGAGAGTTGTTTAGTCAGCAGGCTTATGTACTGTTCCGAAACTTATTGAGAAGCAATAGTTGCCAGGCTGCTTTGGTTTCTCAGTCTAGCTGCAATGCAGCGTGTGCTATTCCTCCGACCGCCAGATAGCTCCTGACTGAGTTTGGACAACAAGTTCAATCCGCTGAACCTGGTAGCTGCATCTCCTTTCAGTGTTTTAGTCATCGGGAGTAGTAGGATTTCGTGGCTGCAATCTACCAGGAAAACATCAGTTGTAGCTAGGCCAATATTATCTATGCACTCCATAGCTTGTGTAACAAATTTGTACTATTCTGGAATTCCGAATACAGGTATCTTATTTGCATTTGCTTTTTTCAGTTCCTAATTCCCATGACTCTAGACAAAGGAAGTTATCAGTCATGGTTGATCCTATCCGTTTTACCTTGAATCGTTGCATCCATTGTAAAATGCTTATCTACTTTTACCTGTTTAAAACTGAAAGCTGAGTGCTGATCAGGTACTTCTTTGCATCCATCTAGAATCCACTGTTCTCTATTTTCATACATAAAAATAAATGTATTGTCTTCGATCTCCTGCTTGTTTCAAAGTTCTGCTATACACATATTAGAGGTTCATACTATGATAGTATAAGTCTTGAATTTCCATCGGTAGTTCTACATTTGCCTACCACATTAACAAGCAATTTATCCATTGCAAGCTTGGGATCAAAAGAACAAAATCAATGATGCTTTGTACATTCATTAAAATGTTGTGTTTCTTGTGCTTACTCACACTTAAATTTGAAGGTCCCTCTTCATGACACTGGTTAACTGCTAATGTCGATTTATTGTACAGAGTATTGCTTCATCTGGTTGATCTGCTATTTTTTTATAATGCCTCTTCTGAGAAAATTACATTTTAAGTTTACATAAGCTAGCCTTGTATCTTGCTTCCAGTAATTTGTTAACATGGTGGTACACTCTATTTTTTCAGAGAAACAAGAGGCAGTGAGGAAGCTGATGGAGACCTCAGGTATCTATGAATCTTTTTTCTAGATCTCTGAATGTCTTCCCTCCTAATGCTACAGCTGTCATATCCTCCATTGATTATTATATGCCTTTAATACGTTGGGGCTAAAGAGAATTCAGGGTGTAGTTTTTTTAGAGCAAGGTGGTGCTGGAGGTTTTGTCGGTATCAAATTGAAAAATCCTGAAATGAAACGTGTGTGTGCTTCTATGGAATAATTGCATTATGGTTCTACCTCTGCTTTCTATTAGGTAACTAAAGGTACCTGTACAGATAAAAAGCGGTATGCATTTCCATCAATTTTGTACCATTAAATGGTGCATTAACAACTGTGTTCCCTGGACTCAATATAGTGGCCTGATCCTATTCATGGCTGCTGATATGCAAGTTCTTTCCCCTTATCAGGATCTCGGGTTGATGATATTTGTAGCTCATTCTAAGGTATCCTGTTTCTTTGATGTTAGGTTCTCATAGTACATGCTCATTTCTTTTTATTAATCTTACATATAGTGCCGTGATCCTTTTCATGGACAAGTGCTCTGCCAATTTGAGTTTTTCAATGGTTCTTCCACAAACATACCATGTCACAATTCTTTGACTGCCTCATCCAATAAGAGATTGAGAAATGTATCATGATCCGGGTTAGGATTCGATTCCTATATTTTTTAAGATTCAACGCTTTTCCTTGTGTTCTATTTTTTTGATTTAAGAGGAATATATATCAACTGAGTTTAGGATAATAGGTACATTTAACTATGCCCAGCTTTACCCACTGTTAACATGATTTCACCATGATATGATATTTTATTACAATCTAGGTTTACCGTACACACATTATTCTTCAATTTAGTTTGCAAACAAATAATAGTACTGATTCCTATTTTTTGCATTTCAGTATTGGCAGCCATTCATCAATAATTTAACGTACCCGCTGATCACAGCTTGCTAAGAGAACTTCCTATTTACATCAGCACCATCATGCATCGCCTATCACCAGACCTTCACCAGCACCACCACACATCAGCAGCGCTACTACCACCGAAGACAACTATTTGTGTACACCGGCTTTGAGATCAGCTACCGTGTATAGCTTTTCCACTATAAAATACTTATCCCTGTAATATATTTCAATAGACCTGTATAACCTCTGAACGTGCTACCGCGCGAGCGCGCGGAATCGCGCGCCAATCGACTAGTATTATCACATGATGGCTTGCAGTGGACGGCGGACGGATCATCCAGCAGCCGCATTTTGCTGACGTCATAGTGTTACTACAGCACTCGTACTTTTTTATGTATGCTTGTACTGTCAACTCAGCTACAGGGTACCTCCAGTGTTGGGGGCAGACAGCGTGTTTGGCTGGTAGTGAATTTCGGATGGTCTGATTCAATAATGTTATATAAGAGAGAATAAGTTGAAACAAGTTGAAATAAGCCATAAGGTGACTAGCTGAACACACTGAGAATCGGTTATCCAAAGCGAACCGTACACACTAGAGATTGCGAACCGTGAGTGTCATATGAATATTTACCACTATTAAGGATGACATCTTATATTATATCACTGACACATGAGTCACTGATATGATATTTTTTATATCACCCACGTCACCATGACGATAAATATGTAAACATTCCCATATTCAAAAGCGCACCTTGCAAACGCGTAGCACCCAGCCAATTAAAATAATATATACATGGCCGTTACGATTCCTTCTCCTAGGTTTCTTTTGGCTTCAAATTTAAATATAATATAATGCTCCTTTTTGTTTTTGTTCTTCATTTCTGTTCTTAATTTTCTTCTAAAACACCCGCGGGCCTGTTGTACGTGCTACCGTTGGGTGAACTGAACTTCCCCGAAATTAAAACGGCCATGTCCTCCTTCATTATTCAGCAACTGTCAGTTGCTGTGTCACAATTACCCCATTAGCAAGGGGAATGAGAATTTGATACATTTTCATGAGAATTTACAATAATATCTTTGTCGCCCTATTCATTTTCTCGCGGTTTACGTACTTGTTTTTTTTTTGGGTGTGATGGAGACATAATGTAACAACAATGGCTTAGTTGAGTAATGAAATAAAAGACTCATAAAAGTATCTACGAGAGGGAGAGAGGAAGTAAGGAATAAGGAATATATAAGCTAGTGTGATGAGAATGACATCATGATCTACCTCAAGAAGCAAAGGTTAAAGAGGGAAAGGATCTATACTGCAGTGATGTGAACACAATCGTTTTCCAAAAGATATTGTAAAGATAGCAATCGAAACAACAGTCAAGGTCATAAGTGTAGTTTCCCATCTTGGAGAAGCATACTATAAAGCTACTAATATTTAGCCATCATAAATAAGTGATGTTTTAGGTTATTTAAGCCAACAAATCGACACTTTGGTTTGAACCACCATTTCAGCTTACTTAAGTTGCCACCATCTTTTACTGTAGAAATTTTAATGACTTGTTTTTCCTCTCCCAAAAGTTTATAAATCTAGAAACCTTCACATTATTAGATATATCATGAATTATACTACATATTTATTAGCTTTTTTTAAGTGTGTACTTGTAAACTTTTTTTTGGAAAAGATCGATGCAATCAAAGTTGCTAATAAAGTGGTGACAAGTAAACTATGAAGGAGGTAAGTAGCATATTTATTCTTATATATTTAGCTTTGAAATTTTGAAGATGATACGAGTACATTTGTTTGGAAATGTATTTTCACAAGAAATATAATTTTGCTATATCTCTAAAAATTGACACCAAAGGGAGATAATGCATTAATGGAGCCGGAATGTGCAATTCACATCAACAATTTTGTTCAAGCCTCAAAGGTTACTCCCTCAATTCTAAATTGGGCACCGCTAGCGCCCGAACGTTTGGACGCTTGCGGTTGCAGTTGGTTTCCCCTTCGTTTCGCCAATCCACACGTGGGCCCGCGCCATCCAGACATCACTTGATCGCGCCTACATCACCCGGCCCATGCGGGGGCCCACACCACCCAAACGTTGCCCGCGAGGGGACCGCTCGTGCCCCCTCCCGCTTCTCACGCGCATCTCATGTGCAACACGCGATCTACTTTTGAAACATTCAGATACAACACTTGCAACATACAAAAAAGATAGATGAAACATTCGAAATATGCATTTGAAACACTTGGAAAAATAATTGAAAACCATTGCAAACATGCGCAACATCTAGATAAAACACTTGCAATATATGTGTGAAACATATGCAACATCCAGATAAACACGTTTGCAACATGCGTCTGAGAAAACAAATGAAACATTGGGGACAGACACTTGCAACATACATGTACAACTATTGCAACATATGGAACATCATGATCTACTTTTGCAATAACCGTGTGAAACACTTGAAACATACCTCTAAAACACTTGAAACATTTCAAATGTACACTTGCAACATACATCATATCTCGGTGCGGCCTCCTCCACCGTCTGTATTGGGGCGCTGCAGCCGTAGTAGGAGGCGAGCCTGGAGGGCTTCCGCGCTAAGGCCTGACGCTTCTCCTTGCGTTGACACCACCTGTCGGCATCATCGGACGGAGCGGGCGGCGGAGCAGGAGCAGCAGGACGAGTGCACGGAGCAGTGGGGCGGGCGCGTGGAGCAGTGGCGGGAGCAACAGGCGCGGGAGCAGCGGTAGGAGATGCGGGTGCGGGCGCGAGCGTGGTGAAAGGTCCTAATGGCTAGAGGAGGATGAATAGCCTATTAAAATTTCTACAACAACACTTAGCAAACCGGTTAGACAAATATGAGACGAAGCGAGTGTTGCGCTAGCCTACTAAAAATACAAGTCACCTACCATAATTCTAGTTTGTATAGTCTCTATCCACATAATGGCTATGTGACTACACTATGTTAGTATGCTCTCAAATGCTAACTAAAGAGACACACTAACCAAACTAACAAGCTCTCACGACTAGCTACACTAAAGAGCTTGACAACTAGTTTGCGGTATGGTAAACAGAGAAAGCAAGATGGTTATACCGTCAAGTCGAGGAATGAACCAATCAATCACAAGAGTGAATACCAATCACCTTGGAATCAAATGTTGACACAATGATTTTTTATCGAGGTTCACTTGTTTGCCGGCAAGCTAGTCCTTGTTGTGGTGATTCACTCACTTGAAGGTTCACGCGCTAATTGGCATCACACGCCAAACTCTCAATATGGTGCCACACAATCAACACAAGATGAGGATCACACAAGCCACGAGCAATTTACTAGAGTACCTTTTGGCTCTTCCCTGGGGAAAGGTCAAGAACCCCTCACAATCACCACGATCGGAGCCGAAGACAATCACCAACCTTCGCTCGACGATCCTCGCTGCTCCAAGTCGTCTAGGTGGCGGCAACCACCAAGAGTAACAAGCTGAATCCCACAGCGAAACACGAACATCAAGTGCCTCTAGATGCAAACACTCAAGCAATGCACTTGTATTCACTCCCAATCACAAATATGATGAATCAATGATGGAGATGAGTGAGAGGGCTTTGGCTAAGCTCATAAGGTTGCTATGTCAATGCAAATGGCCAAGGGAGTGAGCTAGAGCTGGCCATGAGGCTTAAATAGAAGTCCCCACGAAATAGAGCCATTGGCTCCTCAGATCGACCGAACGCAGGACCCCAACGTCCGGTCGCCCGATGCTTGCCACGTGTCATCAGCTTCAAACGTTGATCGCCCGATCTCAACGGTCATCGGTGCACTTAAGTTGTCACTGGACACAGAACCCCAGCATCTGGTCACTTCCAGTAAGGTTCCAGTCGTGACCGGACTCGTCCGGTCGCCCCTGAACGGACTCACCCAGCGTCCGGTTAACACACAGACCAAACCTCCGAGCGCCACATCATTAGCACCGGACGCGCCAGAGTAGCGTCCAGTGGTTTTATCAGCCAGCGTTCGGTCGTTTCCAGAGAGCTCCCCGAGCCTCTGATTTGCGACCGGACGCGTCCGGTGCAGCACGACCGGACGCAGACCAGTGTCCGATCAGCTCTCCGCCCGCGCGCCAACTCCAGCGTCGCCTACGTCACCATACGTCACACGCGACCAGACGCAACCCCTGCTCGTCCGATCACCTTTACTGTGCAGCGTCCGGTCATTTGATCGAGACCACATCCAACTGCTGCCACTGACCGGACACACTGGTGTTGCCGAGTCCAGTGTCCGGTGCACTCTGTGAAACCCTATATTTTCTGTACAGGGCGCTGGTGGCACCGTTAGACACTCCGCCAGTGAAGTTTCGAATCCTTGCTCCCAAGTGCTAAACGCAATGTGTATCACCTTTGTACATATGTGTTAGCATATTTTCACAAACATTTTCAAGGGTGTTAGCACTCCACTAGATCCTAAATACATATGTAATGAGTTAGAACATCTAGTGGCACTTTGATAACCGTATTTCGATATGAGTTTTACCCCTCTTAATAGTACGGCTATCAATCCTAAATATGATCATACTCTCTAAGTGTTTCGATCACTAAACCGAAAAGCTCCTATCAATTTCACCTTTGCCTTAGCTTTTTATTTTTCTTTCCTCTTTTCCAAGTCCAAGCATTTGATCATCATCATGTCATCATCATCGTCATGTCATGATCTTCATTTGCTTTATCACTTAAAGTAGTGCTGCCTATCTCATAATCACTTTGATAAACTAGGTTAGCACTAAGAGTTTCATCAATTCACCAAAACCAAACTAGAGCTTTCACGTGGGCGCAGACGCGCGGGAGTAGCGGGAAGAGGAGCGGGGCGGGCGGCGGAGTGGGAGATGGATGAATTGACCGGATATTGCAGAGTGGGCGATGGATGAATTGACCGGATATATTAAACAAAGGTTGTGTCACGTGGCCCCAAGCCCGTGTTCGCCCGATACTCGAGTCAAGAGCCGGACGCTTGGATCGAAAAATTATTGTTTCATATTATAAAATATTTGTTAGACTTTTTTAGTTATATTATTTTTACTATATATTTAAGTGCACAACGTAGGCTTATTAGCCAGCTAAAAAATAGTGTTTTTCTCTCATAACAAATCAATCATATAAATTAGCTTGAGCCAAAATAAGTCCTGTCGATCAGAGCTAGAAGTTATACGTCTAGAAGAACTAAAATGTCTTATAATCCAAAATATCTTATAATTTGAAACGTATAGAAATAAAATTTCTTTTTGCTGTCAACGGATGTTTATCTGCGAATGAAATATACTCCATATATTCCTCCTTTTCTTTTTTTTTCCAGAAAAGGGATGAGCCAAGGAAAATAAAAATGGCTATTCGAGGGAAGTAAAATAAGTGCAGTGGCATCGTCATCACGATATCAATTCCGGTGAGGGGTGGAATTATCCCTTCCGGCATTCTTCGATCCCGGAATATGCCCCGTCTCCCTCCTCGCGTTCCTTTCGTCGGTACGCTCCTGCCGCCGCTGCCGCCTGGCTCTCACCGCCGATTTGCCTCAGTCCAGATCGTGCCTCCCTCTTCCTAGATCGGGTCCGAATTCGGCTACCGTTGCCGCCGCCGCCGCCGCCCTACGCCAGGTGCCACCAAGGCGTTCGCCGATCTCTTCGCCGTCGAAGAGCGCCCACCAGGTATTGCCCCACCCCCCCCATCTCTTCTCTTCCCTATCCGCTGTGCGAAACCGAGTTCCCAAACTCTGACCTCAAGCTATTCGGCTATTTGATTGACGCCGACCAACTTCTAACATTTTGCAGAAATTATCGGGTGTACCGCGTACATGTCTACATCCAGCCATGTCCCTTTATTACTAGATCCGCCCCCTGATTGGAAGCACTAAAGGTTGCAATTTCTGTTGCGAATTCAGAATTCTGGTGGTTCCCGTAGCTTGTGGATGGAGGAGGAGCTGGGTCATGGTGAAAAGCTTTGATTTTGCACGCCGCCGCTGCTAATGCCCTTGCTGGAGGGTGAAGGATCCCATGGTGGTTTGATGGTCTGTGCTATCGGGGACGACCCCGTCGTCGTTGGTCGGCGCGCAAGATGTATGCCGTGGGGAAGGTGGGCAGCCTCATCTCCCGCAGCGTGTACTCTGTGTCCGGCCCATTCCACCCGTTCGGTGGCGCGGTCGACGTCGTCGTCGTGCAGCAGCAGGACGGCAGCTTCAAGAGCTCGCCGTGGTACGTGCGGTTCGGCAAGTTCCAGGGGGTGCTCAAGTCGAGGGAGAAGGTGGTCGACATCTCCGTCAATGGCGTCGAGGCGGGGTTCCACATGTACCTGGACAGCAACGGCGAGGCCTACTTCCTCAGGAATGCGGACCCAAATGGCGAGGAGGAAGTGGAGTTCATCGTCTCCCCCGCCTCGTCGGGAGATGAGCGGGAGGTGCCGATCCAGGAGGCTCAGCTGAGGAAGTCGAAGAGCACTTCGTGTGATAGCTCGACGATGGAAGCTGATGTTGGTGAGGGCAAGATTCTTGCGAGGACAACCTCGAGGCGGACAACCATACTTGAAAGGATGTTTGGTCGGAAATCGGTTAAGAATAATGCCCATGCTGTGGATAGGGTGAGTTCGTTGGAGCGAGCAGAGATTGCTGTGGAACTCCTTGATACCAAGTGGTCAACAAATCTCCCACGGAGTTCAAAAACTAATGGTTCAAATGATGAGCCTTCCAAGAGCAATTTGGCAGAAGTTAGCAACAATGATCAGATGGAAACATCAAAACCTAATGGTTCAACTGATGAACCTTCCAAGAGCAATTTGGCAGAAGTTAGCAACAATGATCAGATTGAAACCTCAAAACCTGTGTTTTCAGAACATAGCTTGGATCATGGAAAAGAGATGGACTCTGACTGCGATAATGCTCACTGCAATTCATGTAGCCCCCGTGGAGGAAGAAACAGTTCAGCACATGAAACCGATCAGTGTTTACAAGCCACTATTGTGAAGAAAGAGGTGGTTGAGATACACACGCGTGAGAGTAGCGACTTCACTGATAATATCATTTCAATCACACATCAACATGGGTCTGAATCTTTGTCAAATGATCTGGGAACAGATAAACTTACACATCAGCCTGTTGATACTCAAGATGAGCTGCTGCATGATGTTGAAGATGTCGCTGGAAGGGAGACACATACAGAGGAGGTTGGGATACACACGCCTGAGAGTAGCGACTTTGCTGATAATATTACTTCAATCACACATCAACATGGGTCAGAATCTTTGTCAAATGATCTGGGAACAGATAAACTTACGCATCAGTCTGTCGATACTCAAGATGAGTTGCTGCATGATGTTGAAGATGTCGCTGGAAGGGAGACACATACAGAGGAGGTTGAGATACACACGCGTGAGAGTAGCGAATTCACTGATAATATCACTTCAATCACACATCAACATGGGTCAGAATCTTTGTCAAATGATCTGGGAACAGATAAACTTACGCATCAGTCTGTCGATACTCAAGATGAGTTGCTGCATGATGTTGAAGATGTCGATGGAAGGGAGACACATACAGAGGAGGTTATTTCCAATGGCATTTTTGAAATCCATGTTGTTGAGACAGACATTACAAGTGGTAAGAGTGAGGTGGTTTCTGAGATTGTTACTGTTGATTCTGATGGAGCTAACCAAAATTTTACAGATTCAAATTACCAAAATTATGTCACCACAGATATATCAGCTGAAAGGCATGAGGTTTCATTGACCCCTTCTGCACATGATGCATTTCAAGAGAAAATAGTTATCCTCAGCAGTTCTGAGACTGTGGAGGGATCACTAGATGCAGTTCAAGAGAAAGTAGTCATTCTCAGCAGTTCTGAGACTCTGGAGAGCTCATATGCTGTGCCCTGTATTTTGGATGACACAGTTCATGATGCTTCCGATATCTCACAGGCTGACAGTGTACAACATGAGGAGCACTCTAGTATCTCTGATGTGAGCACAGAAAAGCTAATTTCTGAGGAAAGTTCTTTAGTATGCTATGGCGCTCCCAGCAACAAAAAGGACTTGGTTAATGTAGTTGTTCAAGAATGTGAAGCTTTTATCTCAGAAAATCCTGCTCCCCAAATCTTGGAAGAGAATGGTCCAGATATGGATGTATCTACCGACAGTGTTTCCCTTTCCCATGCAGACGCAGCTCATGATTTAGCTTGTCAGCATGTTTCTTCTAGTGTTGTAGAGACACCAAGTTATGAGCTTGACATCGGTCCTGAAGATGTAACAAAGAACTCAATTGTGGAAAATGAAGCATGCAGTGGGGAGCTTGTTGTTTCTGTTATTCAGACCTCAATGGGAGATGGACTGACAAAATGCATTGCTCAGCCAGCTGTTTTTTCTAATAAAATAGAAGTAGAGGGCTCACCAACTGCTGTTGGATTTTCCAGTTTGGTTAGTGTTGAAGTGCAAAACACAAAACTAGAAGATGACACAAACAAATCTAGTTCTGTGATTGGAGATGAAGTTGGTTTTGCACCTGAGGCTACAGCTGAGCTTGATGAAGAAGCAGAACCAGTTGTATCATTCTCTGAATATACAGAAGAAATTCAGTTTCAATTTAGTGATACTGAAAATTTTGCAGATAGAAAGGCCACAGATGACATGGTGGCTAACAAAACAACTGGTGAAGTAGAACATGATGAATCTGATTGTGACACCAAAAAACAGGAAGGAGGTGATGTAGTTCTTGCAAATGACTTGGAGAACTGTTCTGATTCAATAAAGCCTGGGACTAGCCCTGTTTCTATTCCTGCAATTGACTTCCAGTCAGGAGATAGTAACATAGAGGCTAAATCTCTACCAAATCTCCGTTCTCATATACATGATCTTGAAAGGTCTGATAGTTTTCAGCTAAGCCGCTCACTACAATCAAATGCTGAAAATAATGGGGTTGACCCAGTCAAGAGCACGGATTCTGCTTTTCTTGAGCAGAAATCAGAAGTTATTGGTGATTCAGAAGGAAATACCAGCCCACCTGAGGTTACCAGCAATGTAGCACCTGATGGCAAGCATGCTGATGACCTGAAAGTTGATGCATTCATCCCTTTTGCAGGTGAGTTATTTTCTTTTTGCCTGGGACTAACATTTATAGTTGTTTTAACACTAGTAGGTTATAATGGTCTTTATCTTGCGGAGCTTCATACTGTTCTAAAATTTCCCCTATAATTTAGTTGTGCTAAGTGAATAGTGAAACTTTGATAAAGACAAATTTGGTGGATTGTTCTGCTAGTTTTGTTGCAGTTTTTGTGATTCCTGCAATGTCGAATAGTGTGTTACTGAACTACTGAAGTAACTTGACAACAATGATAATCTCTATCTGTGCCATTTTTGCAGAATTATCACTATGCAGGCACCTGTTATCTGAAGGCATGGGCGAGGATGCTGCTTGCAGTGCATTTGATTCTGAGAAGGTAACCTTAGAGAAGTTCCGTGACATGAAGCAATCACTGATGCGAAACAACAAACTAGTTGTTAGGATTGCTGGCCGCTATTTTCCCTGGGATGCTGCTGCGCCTATAGTGCTTGGTATGATTTCTTTCAGTGAGGAACAAGTTTTTGAACCCAAAGGAATGATAAAGGTGGAGCGGGTTGAGCAAAGTGAAGCTCCAGGTGGCAGCTGGAGAATCTGGCCATTTAGTTTCAGACGAACAAGGACTATTAGTGCTATCCAGCCAGTTTGTGAAAGTACTGTTGAGACTTCTGTATCCACTCCTAAAGAATCCACACCTATTAAAGAACTAGATAGAGAAAGGAATAAATCCAGGGCAAAGAGGATTGAGAGGAAGGTGCGATCACTCACTCCGACATCTGAGGAGCTTGCATCTCTTGATCTCAGAGAGGGAAGGAACGTGGTAACATTTACTTTCTCAACTGCAATTGTTGGGAAACAGCAGGTTAGTTTCACTTAATCTTTTTCAAGTTTCACTAAGTTGCATTTCTCATCCTCCCTTCTTTTCTTTAACAGGTTGATTGCCACATATATTTATGGAAATGGAATACACGCATTGTAATATCTGATGTGGATGGAACTATCACTAAGTAAGTTGCAAAACTGGAGCAATCAAACATATGTTTGGAGACTTGATCGTCAGGAGTGTCGGTTATTCCACCTTTCAAATGATACACATATTCTTTGGTTGTGTCGTGTATGTATGCAATGATAAGTAGCTCTCATGCGTATTCTAGAAAAAAATGATACGCAGTTATACTTATATTGTTCTGTTAACCCATGATTCTAAATTTCTCTTTGTTGAAAAATCTTTATTTGTAAAGGGAGCAAAAAAGAGGAAGATAATGAATTAAATACAACTAAGTTTTATCATTAAACAAAATGGGAAATCTGATTCATACCACCAAATAATGCTGTATATTAAAATCTTACAAATGTTTATGTTTTGTCATATAATTGTAGGTCTGATGTTCTTGGGCAGTTCATGCCACTAGTTGGAGTTGATTGGTCCCAAAATGGAGTTGCTCATTTGTTTTCTGCAATAAAGGTATTCATGCTACTCATGCTTGTAACAAAATAAATGAATTTTCAATTCAATTCCAGATCTAGTTGTGCCATAGCAGTTGATTGAGTCTTTTTTTTTTGAACATCATTCAAGTCTCAAGAATGCCATCAGTGAATGTTTGTTGACTTGGGTTTGTTCTTGTTATCTGGTTGCTTGCATCCACAGGAAAATGGATATCAGCTTCTATTTCTGAGTGCACGCGCTATTTCACAAGCCCACATTACAAGACAGTTTCTTTTCAACCTAAAGCAGGTACTTCTAAATTCAGTCCTTAGTCCTAGTTAATCTTCTAACTGTTTGTGGCCTGGTAAACACAAGCAGCCATGAATTCTGTTATGCCCAATCACGTAACAATAGCACAGGCCTGGTCATGTCACACATTCACAAAGACCCAGCTACAGCGAAACTAATAAATAGAACCTGGTGCCCATCTATCTTATTCCCTCATGTATATTTTGATTTCAGGATGGCAAAGCACTTCCTGATGGCCCTGTTGTTATATCTCCAGATGGTCTCTTCCCGTCACTTTACAGAGAAGGTGAGCACATCCTGATATATTTTTGCTATTTTCTATTCAGTTAATTGTGAGTGAGCAAAAAGAGTAGAAGACACAAAATTACTTATCTCCACTGTGAAAAATGTTGCATTCATTACCTCTAATATTAACTTGGGTTCACATGAGTAAACTGGGTGTTGCTACCTTCTAATAAACTCGGTGTTTGGTAAGCATAACATTTCTGAATAACAAAATCACCACTCTTTTTGGTTTTGGACCCCCTCAACCATTGTTGGATAAGAGGCCCACTCCTTTTTTAGCAGGTCTATGATAAGTGCTTATAATACGATCATGTTGACATAAAAAGTAATCCCTCCTTTTCAAAATGTAAGGCATATTAGAGCAAAAAATCTAAGCTTTGACCATCAATTAGTCAAAACATTTGTACATTTAGTGTACAGAAGATGTATTGACATATTTGTACATTCACATGCCTTTTATTAAGATGTTGCTTTGTAGTAGTTGCTTGTACAAGAAATTAATGGTCTGCCAGGATCTAACGACTTTCTTAAATCCTAACATGCCTTATAAGAAGAAACGGAGGGAGTCTCTGTTGACTACTTTATATTAGCTATATGTTTGAGTGATGCTAATGTTTTCTGACATTGGTTTGTAGTCATCAGAAGAGCTCCGCATGAATTCAAGATTTCATGTCTAGAGGTGAGTACTCCCTGCACACATATAGAAGGGTTCTTCGCTTCTTTGATGTTCTATTGATGATTTCTCTGTCCTTTACAGGCTATCAAAGATTTATTTCCACACGACTCAAATCCATTTTATGCTGGATTTGGAAATAGAGATACAGATGAGCTTAGCTACCTCAAGGTTGGTATTCCTATGGGCAAGATCTTCATAATAAACCCCAAGGTAAGAATCTAAGACAGCAATCACTCGTTTCCCTCCTTGAACATCTTTATCTGCATAACTGTGCTGGAGTTCAGCCAGTGAGAGCATACTCGCACTGGATATGGCATCTAGAGAGTTCGTGTTGAAATTTTCCTTTGATGCAGGGTGAAGTTTCAGTGAATCGGCGGGTTGATACAAAGTCATACACATCCTTGCATGCTCTTGTCCATGGGATGTTCCCTCCAATATCGTCATCGTCTGAGCAGGTCAGCACTCCCTTAGTATTTGCCAGCAGTTCAAGTGTACTTACTCCTTTTCAATGTAAATTGCTTCTTGTTCTGACGTCAAGTTCTTGGTCAATTCAGGAGGACTACAATGCTTGGAATTACTGGAAGATGCCATTGCCTGATGTTGATTTGTGAGGTACAAGTCAAGTCTGCACAAAAGCACTGCAGTAACTTTATGATGCGCCGTAGTGATCATGAGAAGGCAACCATGGTGAAGGTAGCGCACCCTGAGGTATTGCAGTTCAACTATTTTTGGTCTACTTAGTTTCTTCCTTCATGGGCTTGTGTCTAACATGTTCGATGCATTGGCCACCTCTCTCTGCAGGCCAATTGTTGGTTGGCTACATGTGGATGCTCCTGATATAAGCTCCTGCAAGATCGAAATTGTATATATAGGATCATAATAGATGACTCACAGTCTGTATGCAGGCGGCAGCAATGTAGCTATTTCTTGTGACTCCTGTTGTCGGTTTTTTTTTTTTGAGACGAACTCCTGTTGTCGTTGTTGTAGGACTGGAAATCATACCCTCCATGTCCTGTAACTGAAGGTACATAATTTAGTGAATGGAGGGATCTGATAGTGGAGTATGTTGCCAACCCCCCTGGCCCCTTTTCGTTTCATCCTTGATGCAATTGTGGTACCGATGTAATTTGTACAAGAGCAATTCAATAATGCAATAGAAAGTCAGCTGTTCATATGCAGATATGCTAGTGGTTAACTCGTACACCATTTTGGCAATAACATGTTGCATTGAATTTTGGTACAGTATTTATCAGCTTTGTGTGTCATATTTGGTGTGCCTGCCGGTTTTCAATAGTACTAGCCACTCGCTGCCCGCGCTTCGCTGCGGGTGATGCGCTTGGTATAGGAAAAATCTTGAGAAATATGGCTTATATGTCTAATATGTTTTCTCATCATGTTGGTATGGAAGATTGGTCTCAATACTGTAAACGAACATAGATGGTGCCCATTCTAGGCCAGCAAAAGAATGACATGTTAGTGGAAAGAAGTATTTGATGGAGTTAAGCTCAAACAACTAACACACTTAGATTTAAAGCACAACATTGGCTTTATTATATTATAGATGAAAATAGCAAAAACTACAACACATTTGGTAAATCTGGAATTACATAAAAGATTACACGGTGTCGAACAATAAACTACACTAGGATTTAAAGTTATATGGTTAAGAGCAACCTAGCACAACCAAGGATTACTCTAGAAGTCGGGATAGACGAGGACAATGGAGAAACAAGATAATGATTATCCAAAACATGGCGTATGACCAACAAATCCAGAAACAGGAGACTGAGAAGTCAAACATCATGAACCCTAAGACCAAACTAACCAACGGTAGACTTGAACTTCTTCGAAAACCAGATCCCTTATTCTTATATTACACCATCACCTCAATCAGACGAAATGAGGACTGGATCTCGTAGCTCTGCTTCGGATTCGAGAAGGATGGGGATGAAGAAGAAGAGCAAGGACCAAGGGCATCTTATAATGACGAACGAAGATGGGGCGCAGCGCACCGGAAGTGGAGACGGTATGGATGGGATACGCTACCGGTTCACGCTGTGGAGATACAGCTGGCCATGGCGCGCTCCCTGCTCAAGCGAGCGGAGGGGGGTAATAAAGGAGAGGAGAGAGGGTTCGCTCGACGAGGGAGGCGTGCAGGTGGTCGTGTCCCCAAAAGAAGAAAGAAGGGAGGGGTCTAGTACGGGGACGATGGCGAGGATCAAGAGCGGACCAAAGGCCGGGAAAAGGAGAAGCGTACAGTGCACGAGGACGACGAGTGCGGCACGATGTCGAGGCCATGCGAGGACAGGGTGCTAATGGGCTCGACACCGACGGCGTCCGCGGGGCACGCGGTGACAGCGACCCGGCGTGCGTAGCGTGGTCGAGCTGGGCACAGTGCCTGGGACTTGACATCCACTCAGGCTTTTCTAAGCATTCCCTACTACCCAAGGCTAACTTTTCCTAGGTGTTCTTCTTTCCTTCCCTTCGTTGTCCACAATATGCGCCAAACTTTGTATGAAGTGAGATTGCAACATACATACTTCCTCCGAAACCACCTCCTCTTATTTACTTTGAGAGAATACTATTTCATCAACCCGTTGTGGATTTCTCGTTCAAACACCCAAATATTTGTATCAAAAGTGGTATGGCGGTGTAACTTGGTAAAGGTACTTGGTCAACAACCTCGATACCAGCGCGTGGCGAGCAACGCCACCATGTGGCAGTTGTTCCACAGGGAGCCCTCGGTTTCGTCACGACACCATAAGCTATTAACCAGGCAACTACTACCGACTTCATGGCTGGAAGGCGGTGGGGTCATAGACCACAGAATGAGGGGAGTATTGCAAGGGAAGATTCAAACAACAAGGTTCCCTTCACAACAAGGGACAATGAATTCAAATCCAGTTGCAGATTTGATTTAAAGAGATTTAAGTGTTCTACTGGGACATCCACAATTAATCGATACAGCGTCCTATATTATCCAATCACGACTGATTTGCTGATATCTGGATGGCAACTTCTCTTGTAACCCACATACCATTGCCCTTGAAAAATCTAAGCACGTTTAACGGGAATTAAGTAGATGGACGCAATAAACACAGGGTAATAAACCAAATGCATATTCCAACGGTCTTATACAGGTACATCATACAGGCATCCAGTCTCCCATTCACGACACAGCATTCACCTTCCCTACGATGGACAATCTCAACAGTACGTACGAAAAAAACGGCAAGAGTACAATACCGGAAGATAGCGAAGAACAGCACTACTACTACGGGTACAGCATCTCAAGGAAACTAATCTACTTGGAACCACGCATCTTCATTCCCGGGCTTGGCGGATTCTTCAACCACCTAGGCTATGGATCTACATCTTCTCTTGGCGATGGCTGAGTGAGAGGAATCAAGGGCTCTACTTCTGACACTTCTGAAGGTGGAGGTCCTGGCGGCACTGCAACACCGGTCCTCCTTCTTTCAGGCGGGTGGACAGGGATCCCTTCCAAGATCGGGGCATCCTGCCTTTCAGGAGCCAACGTCCTCTGCTTGGCCCTAGTGATAAGATAGGCCTCCTGTAGCTGATGGACATATCGATCTTCAGCCTCCTTCAGAGCTTCGGACATGGCAGTCTCCCGGCTCTCAGTAGCTACAGCACTGGCATGCACCTTGGCGAGCTGCACCTGGAGGATTCGGGTGAAGATCTCAGCTTCCTCCGCCCGCTGGAGGCATATCCTCAGTTCCAAGGCTTGCCGGTCATACTGCTCATCCAGGGCAAGAAGGTACGTGGTCGAATGCACCATGGTAGGACTATCCTCTTGCGCATCCCGCCCTTGCAAAGCCTCCATGCGAGCCCTCCATGCCCTCCGATTCCTGTCCAAAGGTGGAAAGAACCGCATGGGGGTACCGGCAATGGGCTCCTCATAGATTTGGCAGAGGTACCACAAGGCTTTGCAGGCCACAACCTAGTAGGTGTCGATAAAGCTAAACCCGGTTGCGGTCACACTCTAGGCTCCAGTGAGGTCGGGGAACTCCTCACTCTTCCCGATGTAGACGGTAACCTCACACCGCTCGGTGCCTTGCTCCTCATACTCACGGCCCTCATACTCGGGGACGATCTTTGACTCTGAGCTTTTGCAGGGTGGCATGCAGGATTCTAGGAAAACCCTCAACGTTCAGGCAGTAACTACTAACCTAGGCTCCTACCATTTCTGGTGGTGGTTGTGAGGGAGGCTGAGCGAAAAGCTGGCTCAAAGGAAAAGCTAAGCGAGCTAAAGTGCGCCGAGTGGTGGTACCAATGGCTAAGCCAGGCTCTACTTATAAAGGTGGAGCGGTCTGTGGTCCTGACGTGGTTCATTAGGGTTCCTGCGCGGGATCACTACGAATGAATCGACCAAATTCTACGTGTTCGAGGCGAGCGACGTGCGGTGCCATTACTGAGTAGTACGATTGTAGGGCAAGGGTCCGACAAGAGCACAGAAAAGGGGTACGAGGAGACGTGGGTCACTACAGGCGTGAACCACGGGTGAACGTGGAGGACAAAACCACAGTGCAGACCTAACTCTAGAACAGGAACGAGTAGGTCATGCACAATATGACATGCGTGACACCTATGGATGGCGTATCTGCTAGCAATGCGGCACTATAATGCACAAACAGGATATGCATGAATGCATGTCTTATATGTCCTTTCACTGTTGCTAACATATAGGGAAACCGTTCTTAGCTTTTTGGCACATCGTTCTCTCCCTGTTGGCGACCAACCCCAACCACCGACCACCTCGGGAGCAACGTGCACACAAACCAAGCCATGTCTTAGATGCATGGATGCATGTGTAAGTACAAATGTTCCTGCATGGTCGATGAATCGCTTTTATCTAATGGTAAGGAGGAGAGGCATTAAATGTGTCCATTTGCCCGACTTGTTTTTATCTGATGGTATCATGGAGGGGAGGCATTAAATATGTCCACCTGCTTTCGACCCACCCTGCGTAGGTGAAGATGTCAAACGCTTTTAAATTTACCGAGTGAATTTCTGGATAGCTTAGGGAATGGCCTCAGACACTGCTCGTCTCACGCGCGTAAAAATCCTGCTGCTTTCCTTTTATTGTTCTCTGCACCAGACTAAATGGTGGACTACGCCAGGCCCAATGACCACTCCTCCATTACAAAAGGCCTAGCCTAGCCACTTGGTACCACCACTCGGTGAGTCTCAGCTCACCTAGCCTTTCTCCCAAGCAAGCTTCTCGCTCGATCCTTCCTTGTAACCATCATCCACCAAGGATGGCAGGAGCCTGGGTTAGCAGCTATTGCCTAAACACTGAGGGTTTTCCCAAAATCCTATATGCCACCTTGCAAAAACTCAGAGTCAAGGATCGCCCCGAGTATGAGGGTCGTGAGTATGAGAAACATGGTACTAAGCGATGTGAGGTCACCGTCTACATTGGGAAGAGTGACGAGTTCCTCGATATCACTGAAGCCTGGAATGTGACCGCAACCGGGTTTCGCTTCGTCGACACCTACCAAGTTGTGGCCCGCAAAGCCTTGCGGCATCTTTGCCAGATCTATGAAGAGCCAATTGCTCGTACCCCCATGAAGTTCTTTCCACCTTTGGAAAAGAATCGACGGGTATGGAGGGCTTGCATGGAGGCTTTGCAAGGGCGGGACACGCAAGAAGACAACCCAACTGTGGTACATCTGGCCATGTATTTGATTGCTCTAGATGAGCAGTATGACTGGCAGGCCTCGGAGCCAAGGAAGTGCCTCCGTCGAGCCGAGGAAGCCGAGATCTTCTCTAGGGATGCTCGAAGTGCAACTCGCTGAGGCGCACGCCAATGTGGCAGCCACAGAAAGTCGTGAGACTGCCATGGTGGAAGCCCTAAAGGAGGCTAAAGATTGGCACACCCAGCAGCTGGAGGATGCTTATCTAGTCACAAGGGCCAAGCGTAGGATGCTTGACACAGAAAGGCAGGAACCCTTGGTCTTAGAGAGAATTCCTGTCCACCCGTCGAAAAAAGAAGGAGAACCGGTGTTGTAGTACCACCAGCACCTCCACCCTCGAAGGTATCAGAAGTAGAGTCCTTGCTTCCCCTCACTCAACCACCACCATGAGAGGAGACAGATCCTTAGCCAGTGCAGAAGAAGAACCAACCGAGGCCAGGAATGAAGCCGTTTGGTCCGACGAAGTAGATGAGTTGTCCTAGGGGACATGTACCCGTAGTTAGTAGTGCTTTTCATCGCCATCCTCTAGTGTTGTAATCTTTCCATTGTATTTCATCCGTAGATGTTAAGAATCATCGGGTCGTAGGAGCCAAACGATGTGTCGAGAATGGGAGAGGGAGTGCCTGTATGTTGTACTCGTATAAGGATGTTTTGGACGTGCATTTTGCTTTATCCGTTGTGTTTGTTATGTCGATTTACCCTTAGACCTCGTTAGACTTACTTAGGGTTCTCGAGGCAAAAAACAAACGGGTTACAAGAAAAGCAACCATTCAGATGCAAGCAGACCAGCTATGATTGGAAATGATTCGCAAAGGAGGTAACAAATTAAAGCCGCCTTTTCACAAATTAAAGACCTCTCACAAACATAGTGTAGGCTTTCATTTTCAAGTTGTATGTTTGACCTAAGACCGCATGCAAATTAAAGCCACGCGCACCGCCAGTGGCCACTCACCCGCGCTCCTTTTTCTCGCACACTGGTGCCGTCCTCTCAGCGTCACGCCGCTGTCTCTTCTGCACCGCCACCCACCGCACGTCGCACCACCGCCCCACGACACCGCTCATGATGTCACTTCCATTGGGCCGATGCTGCTGCTGCTGTCCCCCACAAACCTGATTCCCTCAGCCCCCGATGCTGCTCAGTGCCGCCGATAATGGCGCGCACCCACCCTCTAAACACGCTGTCAATCGCCTATAAAATGCCCCCAGCTCCCCCTTCACAACAAGACACTCCACACTCGATACTAATCACCCGCATAAGCCCCCTATTCAAATGCCAACCTATTTCAACATTTTAAGAAGAAGCCTGAGATAAGTGCTGCAAGCTGGAGACTATCGAAGAAAACATCAAGCAGGAGCTAGAGTACATTGTTAGAAGCAAGAAGCTGACACTCTTAAGATGTGCTTAGATGAAGATGAGCTCACCATGACCATCTTTGCTATCCTAACTCCTACTATGGTGGCATCAATCATATTGTATATCCTTGTAATGCGCCTGCTACCCTATGAGAGGCCCAGAGATAGTTGTTGAAATAAGAAGAGCTGAATAAATATTCAAGCTTCGCGGATTTATTCAAATTTTGAGGGCATAGGGCCTGTCCACAACCTGACTACGCATGATTAAGTTATTTCTTACATTCACCAAATAAATAGCGGCGCAATTCCTATACCAGCTATATTATGATGCGAGGTCGTTTGCAATTGTCATTGTGGTTAAGTTTTTACGTACCTAGCATAGTATTAGTGCTAGGTATCCATGTGAGTTCCTTGTCAGTAATAACTAAATAAAGTTCGTACAGGCTGCACTTTAACATTTACGAGGGATACTATGGTGGCTGTAATATGCAATATTACTTTTACTCATTCTACTGTGGGGTATCATTCTATGTGGAACCGTTTCAGGTGGTAGTACTTAGACCATATATATGGCAGCGATAATGCATTTGTATGGTTATATGCCTGCTACCACCGTGTCCTCCCATACCTTGAGGTTAATGGGAATAAGGAAAAGAAAACATCTTAGAAGATCAGTACAGGTGACGGCTTTGCTTCTTCAGAAGGTCATTTTTCATCTAGAAGGTGGTTTTCCAATCTCGCTGCCCCCAATAATACTTGTTAGCCTGTACGTGTATCCTATGCAATCTTATCATTGTTTCAGAATAATTATTTTAATATTTTTTTGTGCTGCTGTCTCCGATATCTACACAATACACAATTCCCTGAATTTGTCACAAGATAGCTCTGAGATTCCTAGAATGCTGCTCCACCTATAAAAGTGCCAAATACTTATACTGATGCCCTATTGGCAGTCGCAAACTTAGTCATGCCTATCACTTATCTGTATTAACCTTTTTTGTAACAATTTTTATCCAAGCTAAATAGTATAAAAGCAAATATAAAACAAAAGGTTTTGGTAACCCACATGAGTCTGCCAATTATTCAATGGTTTATGTGATGCTTATTTACGTACTCTTTGTCAGATAGTGAGAAGTTCTAAATTATGAACTCATTTGGATAGACCAAAGTTATATGTTCAATTAGTACCACATAGAGCTTATACACCTTCCAAACTTACACTTAAATTTATACAACTTCCAATTTACACGGTGGAGCATATATTTCTTTCTCGAACATGCAGGAGAGCTACGTATCATTTCATTAAAAAGAAAAGAAAGAGTAATGCAGTAGCAAAGCCAGCACTTCTATTCAATCCAATACAGGGCTATGCACTATATAGAATAATAACTCACCAAGGTAGGGTTAGAAATTAAAGCCAAATATTAGGCAGCAACAAATCTGAAAATACCAACCAAACAGAATACATGAGGGTAGATCCACCTGAATGCTGTAATTGAATGCTATTGTCTTTGTTTAATGCTAAGATGGACAAAGGCCTAAAACTCTAAAAAAATACATGAGGGGAACATTAGCTGTAAATTGTAATGTACATGCACAATACATTTACATACTGCTGGGGAAAAACGACTTAAAATGAATGGCATTTTTTTCATAACGGTACAGTACAATCAGGCAATAACATCGATGATGCCACTGGTGTTTAGTAGGTAGATCCAACAGGAATTTACTGTTACTGAAATTTCGCAAATTAAATGTGATTTTCTACGTCACACTTTCATATTTGAATGCAAGCAACTCCCTAGGAACTCAAGCAAACTGTTGAGGAAGTGTCATGTACTGGCTTCTGCATCGAGTGTACTTCTGACTCCATCTTGAAATGAGATTGGCTTGGCACCAAGAATCTGGGTTAGCTTGGTGGTGTCCATGGAAAACCACCCAAGTCCGGCACCGTCAATCAAACAATCCAAAATACAGACTAGACCTGAGCAATCTCAATCAATCCATTTCAAAATTTGAAATAGACACGTTTCATCTCAAGAACAAAGAAGCCTTCTCATTCTGATTCTGATCCTTGAAGCTCTTTTCTTGTTGTTGCTGCTACTCGTTACCAATGTCATGCTGCAAAGCACAGGCCACCCACCAAACTCTGATGGTCTTGTCAAGGCTCCCGCTATAGACCATGTAGCCATTGCTGAGCCTGCATCAGGACGCCTGGATGCATTTTACAGGGCCCTCGTGGCCTCCAATGACGCCCACCTTAGCTAGCTCGTCGCCGCTCTGCCGGCGCCAAAGGCCGATGGTCTTGTCGATGGAGCCGGTGCAGAGCAGGTCCCTGACGACGCAGAGGCATAGCGCTGCCATGTCGTGTGCCTTCACATCGCACGCGAGGGTCCAGCGCGCGGCGGTCCCAACCGGCGACGTGGCCGTCGGAGCCCGCGGTGTAGACCCGGTGGTCGGATGCGGCGATGGCGAGCGCGTTCTAGGACACACCATCGCGGGCGACGAGGATGGCCTGGAAGAAATGCGACGCCTTGCCCTTCTCCCACGCCTTGACGCGGCCGTCGGCGGAGCCGGAGTAGACGATGCCGGCGCTGGCGGCGACGGCGTTGACGGCGTCGTCGTGGGCGCGGATGTACTCGAGGCACTTGAGGTCAGCGATGCGCCAGACCTTGAGCGTGCGGTCCCAGGAGCCCGAGTAGAGCAGCGTGGCATTGTGCACCGTGGCGGCGATGGCGAGGCAGGAGATGCTGTCGGCGTGCTCGATGCAGAGGCAACGGTGGCTGCGCCGCGCCATCGTCAGCACATAGCTGGCTTGGCGGAACACCCGGCCCAGGTAGTCCCTAGCGGTGGGCAGCGCGGCGATGAGCTTGAAGGCATTCTCGGAGCGGGAGCGGCGAGAGACGCGCCAGACGCGGACGCGACCATCCTGGTGCGCAGAGAAGACTCGCCCGCCCGTGGCCGCCAGTGCCTTGACGGAGCCGCCGTTCTTCGCCATGGCCAACCTTCCCTAGCTCACCACCGCAGCCGCGGGGCGTGAGCGACGTGAGAGGGGCACAAGTGCTGCCCCACGAGCGCGAGCCTACGTGGGCACCTCCGGCCCCGCCTCCGCCGCTGCCGGCCCCGGCCACGGGTGCACGCGAGCCCAGCCGGCCACCGTAGATGATGCCCTACCGCTGGCCAGGCGCCGCCGCAGCCATAGGCGCAGCCCTCGCAGGCCACCGCCGAGGCGCGAGTGCAAGCGCGAGCCGCCGCGATCGCCGCCAGCCTAGCCGGTCGCCCACCGCAGGTGAGGGGCGTCGAAGGCGCGAGCCCACCTGGCTGCCTGCCTGCCTCTTCCTACTCTTTTTCCTTCTACGTTTCTTGAAGAAAAGAGCAGGGGAGAGGTAGCAGAGGATAAAGGCGCCCGGTCAAATCCCATGAGCTGGCTGGGTAGCTCTCGTACGAAAAGAAGCCCTCTGTGCTTTCCTGAAGGAGATAAGGATGGGTACAGATAAGGATGGATGCTAGTTGGCCTGAAGCCACTGCTGGTTTAAAGGCGTGCATGCATGCACTGCTGCTGCCGTTGGCCCACTTTTGACGTATTCTCGTAGAGAAAGGACAGGCCAAAGAATTTTACCTTCTCACAAGGAGATAAGAACGGGTACAGCTAGGGCGCCGACCATGCATTCAAAGCAAGCAAGGCCCCAGCAGCATGCACGCATGCATACTCGCATGCGTGACGACCACCATGCTAATTAGGCACCGGTCCATGCATGCCGAGAATCCACCATCCCCTGCTACGCGCCACCGTCCATTTACGTGCCGCGTACGATCACTATGGAAGCCATACTTCATTGAATGCGTCCACTTGCTTCATCTGTCCACTGCCGAATGCACGGAGGAAGGTCGGTTGTGACGCGCCTCATCTGAGCTATGGAATTTCGATCTAACGCACCAACAAAAAAAAACGTACGTGGACACCCTGGGAGGCCGCCGATTCGGCGTGCCTTCATATCTTTAATGTAGCCGGAGAGAGTCCAGAGCTGCAATTTTTAGCTGCAGCTATGCGCATATGTGTGAAAAAGAATCATTATTTTCTGCTAATTAAAGCTTTCTTATCATTGTTCTACTAGCATCTCACATTATTTTATTGACCACTAATATATTTTTGCAATAGATTTTGCTAATATATTTTTTGAAATAGATTTTGCGAGGACTTTAACATGTTTCTAAACTAAATGATTTTAATGTAATTAATGTTGTAATTTTTAAGATTTGGTATCGACATGTCTAACTCCTACACGATTTTAAGACCGAGGGAGAACAAAAACAATAACAGGGAAAATATTCAAAATATAAGGAGGAATAAGGGAATAGAGTTTGCCTATTGATGCATTTCCTATTCCTTATATATTCTGTACTATAATATAAATGGTTAAGTAGCACCGTATATTACATGAAACTTGTGGAAGGAGAGGAATAGGAGGATCTTCGAAAATGTTCACAAAACTGCGCAACAGGTAGCATCCATAACCAAAGATGACATAGTGAAGAGACATAGGGTAATGGCTGTGGCAGGAGATATGAACTAGCTGTGACATGTGTCAGGTTCATAAACCCGGGGTCCCTCATGGACCTGCCTCCCAGCAAAAGCTCGACTCAGCAGACGACGTTGCAAACAACGCGTAACTCCTGGGCCGGCCCAAAAACCTAACGACAAGCCAGAAGGACGATCCTGTCTTCGACCGGAAGGCCTGGCCAAAGAAGAACGACGCTCGCTTCCGACTCCGGCCCGTCTCTCCGACCGGAAGGCCTGACCAAGGAGGACCGATGCTCGCCTCCGACTCCGGCCCGCCTCTTCGACCGGAAGGCCTGGCCAAGGAGGACCGACGCTCGCCTCCGACTCCGGCCCGCCTCTCCGACTGGAAGGCCTAGCCAAGGAGGAACGACGTTCGCTTCTGACTCTAGCCCGCCTCTTCGACTGGAAGGCCTAGCCAAGGAGGAACGACGCTCGCCTCTGACTCCGGCCCGCCTCTCCGACCGAAAGGCCTGGCCGAGAAGGGACGACACTCGCCACCGACTTCGACTCGCTTCTCTGACCGAGAGTACATCGAACCTCTGCTTATAGCTCTTCTCTGACCAGGAGGCCGGAGCCGGCTAGGGAATGACCGACCGAGGATGCCCGCTCGGTGAAGACCCAGAAAATAGACAGAGCAAGTAAGGCAGGGCGCTCCAGTCAACCATAATATCAAGGACCGTACCATGCACACCTGCAGGACAGTACTGTCAGGTCATGTCAGAAGGGTACTTTATAACCTTCCAGATATATCAGAACACCCACAGTGTTGTGGGCACCGACATTTATCCTACAGTATGGTAGGCGCCGACATTGGCCATACCAGAAGGACGTAGTGGAACCGACCACATGCATCCAGCCATCAACAGTATTGTGGGCGCCAACAAACCACCTTGTACCCAATGGCGTGGGCAACAAGACTAGGTGGCACACACACACTCTTTCTCTCATACTCTCTCTTGTAAAGCCGTCCTCTTCATCTATAAAAGGGGATGCGCTATCTCCAAAAGGAGGAGGACGATTCAGACAACACATGAATCATTCTGATTCTCTTTGCTTGGCTCTAACACTTAGCGCACGTCAGAGCTCCAATCACTATTGGCCCTTCGGTCCGGAGTTCGACCGGACCTCTGATACCCCCATCTTACTCCCTCTTGTTTGTAACCCCACAACAAACTTTGGGCACCTGGGCTTAGGAATAAAGTCACCGACTGACTCAAATTGGACGTAGGGCATGTTGCCTGAACCAGTATAAACCCTATGTCATTGAGTGCTAGGCCACATCCGATCACAACGTACGGCAAAACTATAAATATTTACATGTTGGTCACTTTTCGCACCGATAGTTGGCACCGTTCATGGGGAGAACGCCATACGTTCATGCTTTTGGTCATCGGATGGTCCACCTTTCCGCCATCTTCGGCATGGCGGGCTCAAGCGATACGACTTGCTTCGGTTCGCTGGAGTTCCCCTCACTCCCACCTGTTGGGATGTGGGCTCCTCTAGTCTTCGAGCCGTCCTAGGCCTTCCTCTTCGAAAGCCTAGACTTCATCGCCGGTCGGCTCGACGTGCTTCACCTCTGCGAGGAGGCACCTATCCCGGCGCCCGTCGGAGGAGCAGCGTCCTCTGTCGGCTTCGGGACTCCCAACGACTTCAACGATGAGGCGCCTGCTCTTAGTTCTGAGCCTACGCTAGGCTCAAACCCCACTATGAGTAACATACATACTATTCTTTACTCGCTTTTTTATATTTTCCGCCGACTCTCCGAAAGGACCCCGTTGTCCCTGCCGCGACCGCCTTGCGACTAGTTCCCCTACGGCCTCATGTCCCCCATGGACGCGTACGCATGGGGGCTCCGAAAGAAGCTGGCGCCGCCCCCTCTCACATTCGAATTTGTGGGGATGGCGGGCTACGCTCCCGCCTCTTTTCACGACCTCATGGATGACGATGTTGAGAGCCATGGCTCCAGCATCGGCGACATCATGGAACCTAGCCACCCTCTGTCCCGGGAGTGAGCTATGGTGGATGCTCCGGGACAGCCGCTGGTGGTGGCAGAGTCTCTATAGACCCACACCCCTCCAGACCCTCGCGCGGAGGCCCTCGCATGTGCGCAGAAGCACGATGAAGAGCTATGATAAAGGCGGCAGAACCAGCCGCCACCTGCGCCGGCGCGCTCGGCACACCACGTTGCGCCCCGTGCGCATAACCCAGCGAGCAGCGCCCAGGGTCGTGCCCGCTAGGTTCAGCGCAACATCATCGATGGGGGAAACGATCCCCCACAGTTCACTCGTGCTAGCCAGAACATCGCCGCGGTGGCAAAGCTTCTGCGCGGCGTTCCCGAGCCTGCAGATCCACAGGAGCAGGCAGTCCACTGGAACCTCCGGGCGCTGGTGGAGACCACCGCCGTTCAACAGGCAGAAAGCTCCATGTCGCGACACCGAGTCACGGCCTCTCTCCCCACTAGGGGAGTGGGGACACACCAGACGCATCACTCCATCCGCTCACCACTACAGCCGCTGGGCATGGAACAGGAAGCCGCAGCTATGCTACGACCTGACTCGGCGCCCGCTCCACACCGGCCGCCTATGCGTGAACGCCTCGGGTCGAACCGAGATGCTCGCAGCGTCATCAACAACCGGTGTTAGGCTCGGCATGACGATGACGTCCATCGGCGGCGGTGAGAGCAGGCAGCATGGGCTCTGGCCGGACCGTCGAGGGGACCGGTGAGACGCACTCTAGGCATGGTCACCGACCCAACAATCGGAGTCCTAGCCTGGATGGCCTAGGACCATGGGCCTTTGGCCGACGCATCTAGAGAGCACCGTTCCCATAGCGCTTCCGACCGCCTACCAACATCGCCAAGTATACCGGGGAGACGAACCCCGGTATATGGCTCGAAGACTTCCGGCTCGCCTATCGAGCCGGAGGAGTGGATGATGACCACTTCATCATTCAGTACCTCCCCATCTGCGTGGGGGAACATGTTCGAGCATGGCTCGAATTCCTCCCGCATGACAACATCCGCGACTGGGCGGACCTCAAGAGGATCTTTGTTGGGAATTTCCAGAGGATGTACGTCTACCCGGGGAACTCCTAGGACCTCAAGAGCTGCCAGCAGGAGCCCAACGAGTCCCTATGGGACTACATCCATAGGTTCTTGAAGCTGTGCAACTCCCTTTCTAATGTCGTCGACGTGGATGTCTTCAGCGCATTCCTCTCCGGAACAACCTATAAGTCTTTGATTCACAAGCTTGGCTGCCTAAAGCCTTGGACCACCCGTGACTTGCTCGACATCGCCATGAACCACGCCTCTAACGAGGAGGCGGCCGGAGCGGTCTTCAACGGAGGCCAGGACAAGGGTAAGGCCAAGCGCGAGGACCAAGATGAGGGCCCCTCCACACAGAGGGGCAAAAAGAACAAGACGTTGGTCGCCACAGCTG